GGTTGAATTATCGGCGAGCAATCCGTACTGGAAGGCGCAAATCGCTCGAATTTTTTCCACTCTCTCTGGCTCGATCGCTCGAATTTTACGTACTGGAAGGCGCAAATCCTCTCCACTGTTCGTGCTCATGGCTTTGAGGACTTTCTTCTCGGTGATTCCTCTGCTCCGACGAAGTTTCTGTCCCTCGATGGCGAGTCTTCTGCTCCGGTGTCAAATCCGGCCTATACGCTGTGGATGCGTACAAATCAATTCCTTCTTAGCTGGATGCTTGCTTCTATTACTGAATCTATGCTAGGGCATATTACACGCTGTTCCACTTCGGCTCAGGTCTGGACTGTTCTGTCTCAGCTCTTTCATACGCAATCGAAAGCTCGAATCCTTCATCTCAAGTTTCAACTTCAAACATTGAAGAAAGGTGACCTCTCTATTGACGATTATATTCTCAAAATGCGTATGATTGCTGATGATTTACATTCTGTTGGTCACCATGTTGCTGATGATGAGCTTGCAATGTATATTCTTGGTGGTCTCAGTGCTGATTATGAGGCTGTTGTTGTCAATCTCTCCTCTCGTTTAGACTCTATTTCATTGTCGGAGGTTCATTTTTCATTTCAAACTCATGAAATGCGTCTTTCTAGTCAAACTCCCCCTTCTCCGGCCGCTTTTCAGGCTACTGCTAACCCTAATATGGTTGATCACAATTCTTCTGCTAATTTCGCTTCCATCAGAGGTGGTTCTTCTTTTCGTGGTTCTTACAGAGGCCGTGGCAGGTCCATACTAAATTGATATTAACAATGCCATTTTGAATGGAGATCTAACTGAAACTGTCTACATGGCTCAACCTGAGGGTTTCATACATCCTCAACATCCTACTGCTGTGTGTAAGCTTCACAAATCCTTATATGGTCTTAAGCAGGCACCAAGGGCTTGGTTCACTAAAATCAAGCATTTCTTACTTTCTTTGGATTTCAAAGCTTCAGTTTCAGATTCTTCACTTTTCTTTAAAAGGTCAAAAGGTGAGCTGCTCCTCATTCTCATTTATGTGGATGACATCTTGATAACTGGTGACAATGCTCAGGCTGTTCAGTGTCTTATCCATACTCTTGGGCAGAAATTTGCTTTAAAAACTTTAGGCGAAGTCAATCATTTCCTTGGTTTTGAAGCTTTGAGGACACCTCATGGTTTAATCCTAAATCAGGCTAAGTATGCTTTGGATTTATTAGCTAAGACTAGCATGGTTAATTGTAAGCTAGTGTTCACTCCTATGTCCCCTTCTCACAAACTCTATCTTGAGGATAGTGATGCATTTTCTGATCCTACCTTGTATAGAAGTGTTCTTGGTGCTCTTCAATATCTCACAATGACTCGGCCGAACATCTCATTTGTTGTGAATAAACTCGGCCAGTTTCTGCATGCTCCTACTCAGTTGCATTGGATGGCCTGCAAGCATCTCTTAAGATATATCAAAGGAACTATTTCAGTTGGACTTCTTTTTCAGTCTGTTCATAGGTTCTCTCTTGAGGCTTACACAGATGTAGACTGGGCCAGCTGCATTGATGATAGGAGATCCACTGGCGGCCATTTTATTTTTCTTGGTTCTAATCTTCTTAGTTGGAGTTCCAAAAAGCAGCAGGTTGTTTCTCGTAGTAGTACTGAGTCTGAGTATAGAAGCCTTGCTAATGCCACGACTGATATTCTTTGGATGCAGTCTCTTTTTCATGAACTTGATGTGTTTTATGAGTCACCTTCCCTTATGTGGTGTGACAATGATAGTGCTGCTGCCTTAGCATCAAATCCTGTGCTTCATGCTCGTACAAAGCATATAGAGATTGATGTGCATTTTGTTCGAGAAAAGGAAGCTGCTAAAGATATTGAGGTTAGGTATGTTTCATCTACTCTTCAAGTTGCAGATTTACTTACCAAGCCCCTATCTCCTGGGAGGTTTCATTTGCTCTGTTCACGACTTCCTCTGCGCGCTAAGACTTCTTTACACCCGGCTTAGTTTCACGGGGGTGTATTATGATATGTTAAATAATTGTGTAGCTTATTTTGTAAGCAAATGATTAGTTAGGTGGTTACATATTAGTTTCTGTTATGTGCACGTGTGATGTGCATGTGTGAGTGCATGTGAGTTGTATAAGAACAAGCTCATCACCATTTGACAAGTCAATGAAACCACTCCTTCTCATTATCTCTCAACAGATTTGATGAGAGAAGATAAAGATTTTTCGAACTAGTAATCATCCTGTGCAGATGCACATATTTATGTAAAATATTACAAGTAATATGTGCGAATTTAATATTAAAATTCTAGGTAATAATCATTAGTAAAAATAAAATACTATAAATATAAATTATTGGAGTACATGTGAATCACTATATTGATTGAAAAAAATTGATGGGTAATGTATTTTTATAATTTAGAGGGATCATGGTCAAATAATTTAGTTAAAAAAAAAAAATTATTATTATTATTATTATTATTATTATTATTATACAGTTGTTTATAAGATTTAAAAGTTCTTCGACTATGCTATTAAAATTAATTACTAATTATTTTTAAATAACTTTTTTAATGGGATACTAAATTTAAAAATAAAATAAAAAAGATAATATTGATTTTAAAATAAATAGCTTGAAACAATAGAATTTTTTGTACTCGTAATTTGTATTTAGTTTGAATTATTATTAGTTGGTATTAGCATTAACTATCATATAATATAATAATTAAAAAATACATGATTGCATTTAGTAGGGTTTATTAATGTGAAAGGTAAAAAAAATATTAATGATAATTTTCGTAACGGAAAAAGAAGGGAAACGAAAATAATTTTATTAAATGCATATATATATATATATAGAGATCGATCAAGTAAATTAATGTTGATTTGAAGATTATATATTGTATAACATGATCCTTTTGGCTGATCAACTGTAATTAATTGGTTGTCTTTTGTATTTTATCTTTTTCTCCATTTGCCATGTAATGGTTAACTTGAAATATAAATTCAAACAGTTTGACATATAGTATCTCTACCATTTATTTTTTAAACTCTCTTTAGTGAGTTGATCCGATCAGTAGATCATCACAATTTAATTAGAAGTTGATGAAATGCCGAGAGAATGATAGCTGACGATCGAGTTAGATTCTAAGATGAACTGATTATGTATAAAAAAAAAGATATAGATCGTTCAGAGATAAAATCTTGTGTAGAGATTTAGAGAGAAGATTTAGTTAAACAAGAAAGTTAATCAAGTATATTTTGGAGGGTTTTCATCATATCACAAATTTATGGAAATGGTCAAGTTCTATGTATAAACACTAAACAGATCTCCAAACAAGCACGAAAATCCTTATTACAATACTTATTATTCTCATGCTCAGCAGTATTAAAAGAGTCTTATTCAACA